ACTTATTTCTCTCAGCATCAAAGATTAAAAACTTACAGAGTAAATAAAATTGAGCACTGTGGTTTTCATTAGAATGATTTCATAATAATTATTTATTATGAGGTCTGGGGATGTGGCTTAGTTGGTAGAATGCTTGCCTGCTATGTACAAAGTCTTGGGTTTGATCCCTAACACCCCATAAAACTCAGCATGGTGGCACATGCCTGTGATGCCAGCCCTTGGGAGTTAGGCAGGAGGAATGGAAGTTCATTCTCAACTATGGCGTGAATGAGGCCAGCCCGAGATATGAGACCCTGTCTTAAAAACTAAGATGTGGTGTGACTTGATACATCCTAGTGACAGATAATAGAGCTTAGAGTGGGAGACTCAAGCATCAGTTTGTCATTCACCACACCTGAGCGCACACCTGCCTGTGTCCTTGCTATCGACATGATCTTTACTGAAGGGATTCCAATAAAGACAAAAAAGTATGCTAAGATAAACAAGTTGAGTGAGTGGCACTGTCAGAAGACTTATTTATTTATTTTTTTTATTTTTTATTTTTTATTTTTTTTGAGACAGGGTTTCTCTGTGTAGCTCTGGCTGTCCTGAAACTCACTCTGTAGACCAGGCTGGCCTCGAACTCAGAAATCCACCTGCCTCTGCCTCCCAAGTGCTGGGATTACAGGCGTGCGCCACCACTGCCCGGCCAGAAGACTTTTAAAATAAATTGTTAACATGTATCACAACATACTTGTACTAATGATACAAGAGTGCTAATGATTAGTGTTTAAAGAATATACCAGAAGAATCACCGCCATTGGTAATGCAGTCAGAGCGCCTGAGCTCGGAACCTTGTTACTGCACCTTTGCAATTACATCCCTTAGTGTAATTGGTGGCTGAGTCTTGAAAGGAATCCTGGGGACTTTGTGAGGAAGTAGCCCGGAAAACAGTTGAACATTAGCTTACTCTTTGATATTTGATACTCTTTTCCTAATATGTAACATTATCTATAATAGCAAATTACTGGGGACAACTTGTTTTTTTTTCTTCTAGAGTATCTCTCTGAGTTTTGTTTGTTTTGTTTTTGTGCCTTTAAATTATTTTCCTTATTTTGATTTTTAAGACGGGGGTTTCTCTTTGTATAGTCCTGCCTGTTCTGGGACTCACTTTGTAGACCAGGCTGGCCTCGAACTCAGAGATCCGTCAGCCTCTGCCTCCTGAGTTGCTGGGATTAAAGGTGTGCACCAGCACCACCTGGCAAATCATTTTTTCTATTAGATCAGAGATTGACCCTTTGTTAGGGGTGTGCTTACTATATGTAAGTATTTTTTATTATTGTTACATATATTCCCAATTATTGTTACATGTATCCCTAGATACAATCTGTTCAGCTTGGGAAATGTTACTTTTATGTATCCGTTTTCAGGGCTGACCATTTGGTATTGGATAACGAATCTGGGAGCTCACCCTTGGGGAAGACCATTTCTCCAGCCTTCACCATTCCTTAGTTGCCTGTAGCTCCTCTTCTAGGGTTGATGCCTGAGCTTTCCCCTTCCACAACAGCATGTCTGTTGGTGCCATAGTTAGGTAGCCATGTTGATGGGACTTCTTGGGTGTAGCTCCCTTGACATTTCTAGGAGACATGATCTCATAGCAGACTTCCTGTTCCTCTGGCTCTCTCAGTCTTCCCACACCCCTATTTTGTAATCCTTGCAATATGAAAAGTGTCCACACTGTCGTCACACGAGGGCTGTGCTAGTCTTCTCTGTTTTGTCTCAGTTTTAGTATATGTCCTGGGGAAGTGAGCACTTAGTATACATAAGTTTTAAGAGGCATTTTAGAATTATTTGCTGGTCACCAAATAGAGACAAGTTATAAATCTTGAGCTCTATGGTCTTGTGTGTGGGGGGGGGGGGATGGGACCCAGTGCCCCCTCTTAGCTCATTCTGTGGCTCACTATATTGTCCCTGAAGTCAAAACCCCCCCGAGGGTGAAAAGATCCATCTTATTTGCACAGTAGTTACTTGTCCTTTTAAAAAGGGATCATCTGTCCTGTGGGGCCAGCACGATGACAGGGGTGGAGGAGCCGGTCACATTGCATACTGTTTTTACATCCCCTGATCCTTCAGTCTTTCTAATTCATTCTGACTGTTTATATTGGTTACTTACATCTTCTTTTTAATTTTATGTGTTTGAATAACTTGCTTGTATGTGTACCACATGAGTATAGTGCCCAAGAAAGTCAGAAGAGGGTGTCAGATGCTCTGGAACTGGAGTTTCAGATGATTGTGAGTCACCATGTGGGTGCCGGGAATCGAACCTGGGTCCTCTGGAAGAACAGCCAGTGCTCTTAACTATTGAGCCACTATTTCAATAACTCCAGTATGAGTTAGTTTTGCTGTGACTTGACAAAGTGACTTAAGAGTAGGTTATTTTGCTTTACACTTTGAAGGTACAACCATCATGGTAAAGCATTCTTGAGCAAACAGAGGTGTGAGGCAGCTGGCCACACTGTATCCACAGTGGGGAAGGGGGGATGGGAGGGGAGGAGAATCTTCAGTTCCAGGCGCTCATATGCACCAAGCAGAAGTGTGAGGCAGCTGGTCACACTGTATCCACAGTGGGGAAGGGAGGGTCTGGGAGGGGGGTGAAGGAAGGAGGTAATCCTCAGTTCCAGGTGCCCACATGGAGGCTCACAACCATCTGTAAGTCCAGTTCCAGGGAATCCAACACCATCTTCTGACCTGTGCAGGCACCAGGCACTCACATGGTGCACAGACATGCATTTGGACAAAACACTCATCAACATATAAATTCCAAACGGACCCAGTCAGCTCGCCTCATCTTCTTGAGTTTTATGGAATCCCAAAGATTCCTGTCAAATCATCTGTCTACATGACATCAAATGTCCAACAAAGCCCCTGTGGGTAAAAGATGTCAGATGTTGCCTCCCTGCTAATTTTCTTCCCCCTCATACCCATTGTGTCCCTGGTGACCATACCCACATCTCCCAGTCCCCTTCCCAGGGCTCTTTCTACAGAATTGTCTGTAGAAAGAAAGTTAGGGAGCAAGAGAGGTACTTGTTCTTCTTGATCCAGAACCTAGTGGCTTCTGTCCAGAGACAGATTAGAAAGCCACCTCTTAGCCGGGCAGTGGTGGCACATGCCTTTAATCCCAGCACTTGGGAGGCAGAGGCAGGTGGATTTCTGAGTTCGAGGCCAGCCTGGTCTACAGAGCCAGGGCTATACAGAGAAACCCCGTCTCTAAAAAAAAAAAAAAAAAAAAAAGAAGAAAGAAAGAAAGAAAGATAGAAAGAAAGCCACCTCTTGGGATGTATTGGAGATACTGGGAGGCTCTGCCTATCTCCCAGGAGATAACAGCTCTTACAGTGATTCATCAAGTCTGGGAAATTGACTTGAAGATGTTCAAAAGAATTTTAAAACTATTAGAAATCTCTTCCTACCTGGCATATATGTTCTGATGTTTTATAAATTCAGAGTGGTCTGACATACCCTCAGCAGGAGGCTGGGGTCACTGCTTTGGTGTATGTCCACACTGTTCAGCCTTGGCCCGAGTCTAGTGTTTCTTTTCACACTCCAAAACGGAAGAGCAGCTTCTGGCCTGAGGGTCAGCCCTGGTGGTCTTATTTTAGGAAAGAAGCCCCAGAGTTGTCCTTTTGATCACATCTCCCCAGCCCTACATGATCTTAACATAAGAACACATGGGACACTTCTGTACTGCACTGTATATGTGGGCCTGTGTGGTGGTGCATACCCATAATCCCAGAGCTACGGAGGTGGATGCAGGAGCATCAGAAGTCCAAGGGCCACAGGAGACCCAGCTCTCAGTTACATGTTAAGTTCGAGGCCAGCCTGGATTAGGGAGTGTTTCTGTCTCACAGTCTCACAAAATCAAAACAAAGTGGCAGATGGAATACATTACAGGCTGCTCAGATGGAACGGACAAACTTCTGTCCCCCACTTCCCACACAGCAGCCCAAACTGTTGGGTGAGCTTTCTGAGACCTTGGTTAAACCTTGGTTGGGTCTAATTCTTATATGCACAGCTTAGAATTTTTTTTTTTTCGAGACAGGGTTTCTCTGCGTAGCCTTGGCTGTCTTGGAACTCACTCTGTAGACCAGGCTGGCCTCGAACTCAGAAATCTGCCTGCCTCTGCCTCCCAAGTGCTGGGATTAAAGGCGTGCGCTACCACTGCCCGGCTAGAAAATTGATACCTAAAGTAAACTGATGTGTTTCTGTTCACATTGGCCTGAAATACTTAATCTCCCATCTCTTAAAAACAAGTACTCGAGGCTAGAAAGATGACTGAGGAGTTAAGAGTACTTGTCGCTCTTTCAGAGGAGGTTCCGTCCGAGTGTTTACACTGTAGCTCACAACCATCAGTAACTCCAGTTCCGGAGTGTCTGACACCCTTCAAGCACTGCAGGCATGTGCACACAAACTCATGCAAGCACACACACATACACAGGAAAATAAATGATTAAAATAGGCGGGATTGACAGTGAAGATGGAGTGGTGGGGCGGAATTGAACTTGTGAAGGAGGCAGGATGGCTATGCCCTTGATTAAAAGTAGGAGGAGCCAATGTCCTGTCTTTCAAACCTGTCTACTAAAAGACAGCCTTAGGTTTCAAGTGCACCCAGAAGAAATCGTGGGGTAGATGAGGAGTGCCACTGTAGAGACTCTGATGGACAAAGGTCATTCAGACACATGGGCCTTGGGACAGCTCTGACCTCGCTTCTTCCTTCTGGAAAAGTAGCTAAAGTGTGTGTGTGGCCACGAGGGAGATATTTGAAGGCAAAGGGCGTGTGCGGCTTATACAGGGGCCTGGGTTCGACCCACAGCACCAAACCCATAATTAAAGGAGCCAGAGACTTCAAGGAACACACGACTTTAGTGACAGAAGTTCAGCTTCTAGTAGCATCCCTTCTGTGCCCCTCCCCCCACCCAGTATCCACACGTGGTGGAATAGCCATCCTTTGGGGGCCACGGCTCTGCTCATGCTGCCAGGTCTTTGGGCTCCTCTGGAGTTAGCTTCATCAGTTTGTCCACACACAGCAGGATGAGAGTGAGGAACCAGAAACTCCAGCCAACCGCCGCGGCGATCCAGCCGTACTCGTCCACGGAAGCTCGGCAACACAGGGAGGCTAGTGGGCAGAAGTCGACGTCTAACAGGGGAGCAAGAACGAGACTGTAAGACACCAGCCACACCCGCTCCCTCTCAAGTTAGGACGAGAACACGGGACAGCAGCGGATGCTTAGAAGCACTTGTTACTTGTTAGGCGTATACTAAATCCTTACATGTTTGCTACCTTACGCACTCAAGGTAACAGCGCTGTTATTACCACTGTTTTAGTGCTGGGTACTGAACCCAGGGCCTTGAATGAGAATATGCTCTGCCAACGGACCTACACTCCACCTTGTGCTGGTTCAACTATCATCCCTACTTCATATAAGGAAACCCAAACTGAAGAAGACCAAGATCACACTATGGCAGAAGCAGAGCTCATATTCCAGTCTGTAGATCCCAAAGCTGTATCCTTGGCCTCTTAGAGATTTCGTGTTGCTCCTTCCCTGTCTGTAAGCACGCAGCTGGTCATTTGATGAGGACCGGATAAAGGGATCAGAGTTACGATGAAGCAAAATCTTCCATTGATTGGACACACGTGACAGAGATTCCTTTGTGCTTTCTGAACATCCTGCCCCCGGAAACATGTCAAGAGGATGAATGGAAGTAGGGGAAAAGTCCACAAGCCAGCTCCTGCTTTGGGCAGAGGTTGGAGCAGGTATTTTTAATGGCTTCTCACCTCCCCAAATGCTACAACATTTTCACCTTTGAGTGCTGGCCAGGGGATGGGTCATTAGACCCGCCTGTGCAAAAGAGTATGCGACTAAATTTTGATCAAAGCCAAGCTAGTTTCTAATCTGCTCTGTGACCAGTGCTGGGACATTCCTCCTCCCTCACTGTCTGGGAAGACCGGCCATCGCTGGGTTACTGGACAGAGAGGGGCCCGAGTTTCTTTCCTAGCTCTAGGGATGGCTTGAAGATTAGGGTAGTTGACAGGAGAGACTTACTGGCACACTGCTCCGGGGTCCCAGGGTCTGGGTGGTGTGTGTTCAGGGTTGAGTTGCTGCTGCTGGCTTCTGCAAGGAAAGGCGAGTGGTCTCAGTGAGTCCCGGCAGCAGGTTTGAATTCTTTTGTGCGTGAGTACTGAGTAATGGCGGTGGTAGTCTAGGAGTCCCAGTGAAGACTACACTAAGACTCTCGAGGAATACATTGAACTCTCCTCACTCATCAGCTAAGCCCCAACTCAACAGTGGGCCTGTGTATGGAGACAGACAAAAGAAATAGCTCGGGCTAAATGAGGGGGGAGGGAGAGAGAGAGAGAGAAAGAGAGAGAGACCATTGATCTCAACACTCAGGAAGCAGAGGCAGGTGGATCTCTGTACATTCCCTGGCTAACCTGGTCTACAGGAGACCCTGTCTCAAAAATAAAGCAGAAAGGGAGAGGAAGAGACACCACCACCAGCTCAGGGCTTAGAGGAATGGCCATTCGAGGTCACAGTAAGCCAGAGGTCATCTGTAACCCCAGCAGGGAGAGACCAAACCTGTCCTAGACATCCAACCCACAGGATGGTGAGCAAACACGTTTCTGTCAAAGACCTCCAGTCTGTGGTGTTTGTTTTACCCGAATGAAAGGCTATTTTCGCCTTTCTTTCTCCAAACTTATGAAGTAACAGAGTTCGTTTCGTTTTTAATTTTTAAATTGGCGTACAGAATAATAGGTTTCAAATAATAGGTTTCATTATGACATTCAAATATGAAAGTCATGTGCTCTGCACATATTCTTTCTCCTGCTGCCAACTCTTGTGTTCCTCTTTCCAAGTAATCCCTGTGCTGCTCTTGTCAACTTGAGGTAAAGAGTCACCTGGCAAAGGGAGCCTCCATTGAGGAAGTGCCTCCATCGGGTACCTGTGGGCATGTTTGCAGAGGCATTTTCTTGATTAAAGATTGATGTGGGAGGTTTATTTTTAAGGTTGATTTATGTATTTTATGTATGTGAGTACATTGTTGCTGTCTCAGTCACACCAGAAGAGGGCATCGGATCCCATTACAGATGGTTGTGAGCCACCCTGTGGTTGCTGGGAATTGCACGCAGGACCTCTGGAAGAGCAGTCAGTGCTCTTAACCACTGAGCCATCTTCAACCCCAAGATTTATTTTATGTGTATGTGTGCTTTTGCTTCCATTATATTTGGACATTACATGTATGCCTGGTACACCAAAGAGGGCATTGGATCCCCTGGGTCTGTGAGCCAAGAACTGAACCTGGGAATTCTGTAAGAGCAGCAAGTGATCTTAAGCACTGAGCTACATCCTCCATCCACATAGGGGAGGTTCTGAAGATTGACATGTAGGAGGGCCCAGCTCCTGTGGCTGGTACTGTTTTTCAACAGGTTGGTCCCGGTTTGTACAAGAAAGCAAGCCTTGTGAACCATGGGGGAGCAAGCTAGTGCTTCTCCGTGGCCTCTGCTTCCATTTCTCCCTCCAGCTTCCTACCTTGGTGTCCCTTTGTGGCGGACTGTAAACTAAAGAGAAATAGTCCCTGTCCTTTTAAAGTTACCGTGGGTCAGTGCTTTATCACGGCAATAGAGGAGCAAACTAGACCCGTCCCTTCCATATTCGTGTGATAGACATAAATCTCCCTACGTTTGTCTGGACTCCACATATGAGGAAGAATTGTGAAATATGCTTCCAGGGTCTGGCTCATTCCACTCAACATGACTTCTAGTTCTATTCATTTTTCTGAAAATGAAGTAATTTTATTCCTTATGTCTGAGGAAAGCACCTGGACCATATGTCCTCTAGCCTTTCATTTGTTGACGGACATCCAGACTGGTTCCATTTCTTCACTTCTATAAACAGGGCAGCAACAGACAAGGCTGTGCAGCCACCTCGTTGCTGCATTGACCCAGTACCATCCCATTTTACTATCACTTCATCCTCATTCAAAGATACTTTATCTTCTTTTAAAAACAAAGATGCTTTTCAGGGGAGCATGGCAGCATACATACGCCTTTAATCCCACCTCTTGCCAGGAGGAGGCTGAGGGATCTCTGAGTTTGTGGCCAGCTTGATCTACATAATAAGTTGTAGGCCAGCCAAGACTACATTTCCCAAACCAAACCGAATAAGCTCTTCGGTGACCAAGACCCTCTGCACACGGCTGCTTCCTATGCACGTGGCTACAGGATGCTTATTCCGGTGTGAACCAAATCAAGCACTGAACAGTCTAGAACTTCTCTTTCACAGCAGATTCCGTTTCTTTCCAACATGTGAACAAAAAAACATTGAAATCTGACCTTGATTCTTCATCTCTGTGGGTTGTGATGTAGTTACACAGGCCCAGGGTTATCGACCAAAAGTACATCTCAAGTGAGCAAATCCACAGCTTAGAAAACTTGATGCTTGGAACTGTCTTCTGATGAGGGATGGGGGAAACCATTAGAAGGAATTATAAAAGTTCTGTCAAGAGTTTGTGGAGCAGTACAGTGCTTGGTTATGGAGACAAACATTGAGATTCAGTGAAGAAAAGCCGTGTCCCTGTGTCTTCTGGCAGAGGGTGGCAGGATCCACGATACTCAGGACATCAGTTCTTGATACTGTGGCTATTTGAGGTGATTTTTTAAAAAATGAACTAAAGTTGAAAAGTCACCCTGGTCATATTTGAAGTGTGTTTGGCTAGCTAGTGGCCACCTTGCTGGAAGCACAGTTCAACCAGACACATTTACCATGGGAGAAAATTCTATCCACACAGACACCAACCTAGGTACTAGGTAGGTGGATTAAAACCAAGGGATTTGTTTGTTTGTTTGTTCATTTGTCTTTTTAAAGGCAGGCTCTACTGTATCTGAGGCTATCTTTGTGCCTGCTATGCAGTTGAGAATGATTTTGAACCTCTGATTCTCCTGCCTCTACCTCCCAAGTACTAAGGTGCTAGGCATGCACCACCTTGTTGGGGGTCACATGATGCTGCAGATTGAGCCGGGGCCTTTGCACAAGCTAGACAAGCCCTCTCCCAACTGAGCTGTGCCCCAGCCCAAAAAGACTGACTTATGAAGAGCCTCTCTGGAAATTATAAGGCTGTCTGCTTGAAAATGGAAAGGAAGGCTTAGAGCTCTTAATGCCCCACTGCCTGTGGGTCAGCTTGTCCTTCAGAGGTGGTGTTTACACAGAGCAGGGTAATTGAGGAAGTTGTAGCTTAACCACAGCCACACACTGCCGCCACCCCATCCCAGCCCCTCCATCCTGCCTAAAGTATGCTAATCACCTTGATGCAATCTCACTACCGTTGTAAATTATTTACATAGTTTAGAGCTGGGCTTCGTTTTGGAGAAATTGATCCCTGGACATTAGAAATTGCCTTCAAAACCAAATCAAATCCTTAGCCTCCATCTTGTCTCTCCGCCTAGGGTGGGAGCATTCTCAGGACAGAGTGAATGAATGGGGAAAAATTAATGAGATGCCAGTATTAGGTTGAGTCCTATGAGGTTGCCATTTTTAGAGGTCAAAACCCGCTCCCCTTCAGCATCCTAAGAACAAGCCAGGGGCTGGTGAACTAGAGGAGACCCAAAAGGCACTGTCATAGTAAACAGAAGAAAAACACCAACCATAAAACCTAGCACCCTCAATTTATCAATCTGTGGTTAATAAATTGAGAATAGCCATAGATGTCGTTTACTGTGTGCTTGTTCTGTTGTAAATTATTTACAAGCTGTTACTCATTTCCTCTTTACAAATAAATCATAAACCACCCTTGTTTCCCCAATGTTATAAACAAGGAATGTGGGGCACAGAGAGGTAAAGTAATTTGCTCAAGATCACACAGCTAGTAAGCAGGATGAGGAGAGAGGGATCAAGGTTCTGTGGCTCTGAAGGGTCCCTAGAGCATCCTGACTGTTCCTAGAGGAGACTCTGGATGACAGACTATTGAGAAGGGTGTGTCAGGGAGTGGGGCCCCTCCAAGGAAGCTTGAGGCAAGGTCAGAGCCAGAAGCAGGAAAGAGGAAGCCAGACCCCTAGATGCTCACGTATAGAGCCCAACTAGAAAAGCTAGGTCTCTTCAGACCTGAGAAAGAGAAAAGAAGCCAGAGAGGGGTGAGACACTGCTTCTGATGCCTGCCCCGAGGAGGCTTGGGGGTGGGTGTGGGGTGGGGGCTGGACAGCCGGGGTAGGGTTCCAGTTTTAAATTGGCCAGGCAGTCTGAGTTGGAAGGAACCTTTGTTTGCTAAGGGAAGGTGAGGGCCCATCCTGAGGGAGCCTTGGAAGAGCCATGGGAAATAGCAGGGCAGCCATACCCCTTTCTACCAGTTTGATCTCCCGATTGAGTGAGATGCCAGCAAACTGGCAAATTAGTTTGTTGTTTTGTGTTGTGGCAAGGGTCTACAGGGATGATTGCTGCTGTCCTAGCAAAGGAATTAATTGCCAGGAACCCAAGACATCCCCAGCTGACTCCAACCCCGGCTCTGTGCCTAATCCTCCAGGAAAGGGACTCCTGTTTCCTCTTTCCTCTGGGCAGGACCAAGCCTGGCCAAGGAATCCTCCCCTTCCCACAGTCCTGCCCTCCCCTTTCTTAGGTGGCCAAGACTAAAGCTCAGAACTATTACCTGTACCGCAGGATAAGTAGAAGGAGGTGAGGACCAGGCTGAAGAGCAGGGCGGCCTGCGTGGCAGAGGTGAGGTACCCAGGGCTGCGGAGGAAGGCACCTGTCTGGGCCATGCTGCTTCAGAGGTGCCCTGGGGTGGGGAACATGTGTCCTGTGTGTGCTGTGTTTGAGGTGACTCCGGTCCTGCAGGAACTGAGAGTCTGTTCAGTGTTTGGGGGTAAAGAAAGAAGGTGGAGCCAAAGAAAATGCCTGTCACACCTGCTCAGCCTCTGTACCTGTGGCTGGGGGAGGGGAGGGGCAATCCCGGCCCTCCTTCCCTGAGACAAGAGTGTTCTCATTGAGGAAAAGGGAGGTGATTCTCTGCTGGCTCCTTGGATCTGGGCTTGCTGTTGCTTTCCCCGCAGGCATAGTGTAGATTCTCTAAATCAATTACTTATTGATTTAAGTAATTATTAAATATTTGTTGCTCACCGGCTGTGTGTACTGAACGATGCTATAGCCTGCAAATGCCCACGCTCAGAGTGTTGGTATTACAGAAACCCAAGACCCTGAGCAACCTGGGGAATGATTGAATGACGAAGGACTTTGGGCATCAGCAGCAAGCACCCAGTCACCTCTGCTGATGAGACACGTTAGGGAGAAAGAAAATGACATTTGGACTGGGCCTTGAGGTATGCATAGTATTTTGACAGGTGAAGAGGAAAAAGAGGCCCTGCAGTAGGAAACTCAGAGGTCACAAGGCAGTGTCTGAAGCCCACTGTGACCTTGACATAGATACATTTGGTCCCACTCCTGGTAGGGAGTGGGAGGCCTGGAGAGCCAGGCTGACTAGGTGTCTGTGCACTGACTAGGAGATTTGTACATTCACTAGGAAGCAAGGGAGGAGGTGTGTGAAGGTTCTGAAGTGAGTAGTGGCAATCTGTGATTGCTGCTTTCGGCCTAAATGCTTGACTGACAGCGCTCTTACTTAAGTGTCCTTACCTAAGGCAGTACATTCCAAGAACTCAAGTGGGTGCTTGAGACCATGAATAATGCTGGAATGCGCACGCACGCATGCACACACTTTCCTAGAAATACATACCTATGGTAACATTTAATTTATAGTTATAATAAGATTACCAACACAACTAATAATTAGGCAGCAATTATAACAATATATTATGTACTATTTAAAACTTAGGAATGCCTGGTTGTGGTAGTGGTGGTGGTGGTGTGCACGCCTTTGATCTCAGCATGCCTGAAACAGAGGTGGATCTCTGAATTTGAGGGCAGCCTGGTCTACACTGAGAAACTCTGTCTCCAAAAACAAAATAACAGGGGCTGGAGGGATGGCTTAGTAGTTAATAGTACTCATTGCTCTTCCAGAGGACCCCGGTTCAATCCCCAGCACACACATGGCAGTTCACAACTTTTATAACCATGGTTCCAAGGGATCTGACACCAATACACCTGAGATAAAATTAAATAAAAAATTTAAACAAGGAGTCTTGCTTATAAAAACAACGACAACAAAAATAACTTAGAAATTGCTTCTGGAATTTTCCATTTAATATGATCAGCGTACAACGGAGGACAAGAAACTGAAATCTCAGGAAGTGAAAGCAGAGAAGGAGCTGACACCAGTGTGTTCCTCACTCAACCTTGAGGGTGACAAGGGTCCAGGAGCCTAGCATTTGAGACTCTGAGGTAACAGATATGGTTTCAGTCCTTAAGGAGAGCACACTCCAGCAGAGAAACCACGCAAGGAAGAATTTGAATGCAGTATGGAAAGGCAGCAATGGGAAGAGAGAAGAGGGAATGATTAAATTGGAAATGTGCGGGGGAGGGGCTTACAGAGGAAGTGACATCCGAGAGGATGTGGGGGCGGGACTTACAGAGGAAGTGACGTCTGATGCGTGTTGGAGTTTGCATGTGCACATAGGAGTTGATGGATTCTTCGGGTAGAAGGGCTAGCACATCTGACGTGAGATGTACACTGTGTTCTTATACACGGCCCAGTAAGAAAGTGATGGGTGCAGTCTAGCCCACTCAAAGCTCTATAGAAGGAGATCATGGCTCACTCCTGTAATGCTAGGAGTTAAGAGATGAGAGCAGGAGGATCGAGCCTGGGTCAGCCCGGGCTACATGAGCCACCCTCCCTACACAAGCCCATAAGCCTCAACAACCTCAAAAAGTCAGATAAATAAGAAAAGCTCTATGGACAGACATATATGTGTAGTGGCCCATAAAGTCACTTGCTTTAGGTTTTTCCAAAGGAACAAATTAATAGTAGCCCTGAGTTGGGGGAATTGGGTAGACGCCCTTCGGGCAGTTTAATTTCAGGTCTTTCTGAGACAAGTCGAGGGCAAGCCAGCCACTGTTTGGACATTTACCTGTGTCCAAGTAACAACACTGAGGCCCAGGCCTTTGGTTGGGGTTAAGGGGGTTGAGAGTGCATTCCATGATGGGGATAGGTATTTGATCCAGCGCTTCAATGGTGTGTAGCTCACCAGGCACAAGGAAACTGCTATGCACAGAGTCTCCAGGCGTTGGTATATCCCGTTGACTAGATACTGATGGTTATACTGTTCAGCGTGCCAGCCACAGTTTATCTGGGTGGACTAAGAACAGATTGTAAACGGTCCTGAATACAAGACAGAGGAAACCGGGCTTTACTTTATGCTTGGGAAGCCATCTCTTTGCACATATGCTTCAAACTAGGTTTGAAACAAAGCCCCATGTAGGGAGATACCTCACAGGCTGTTGCAGACAGGATCACCAGACTCTGAAAGAAGAAGCTGGGCTGAGGGTGGAGAAGAGGGCAACAGAACTGAGAGGCACTGGGAGGCCACATCCACAGTTGGGATATGTGCAGATCCCTGCACGTCAATTCCTTGAAGCCATTTTGGGCGGCTTGTGACTGCCTGAAGCACCAGTTCCAGGAGCCCAGCCCATTTCTAAACTCTTCAGGGAACCCTAGAAATGGCATCCATGAAAGAGTAACAGGTTCTATAGTAGCTATGGAGTGGATGCCCCAGGATCAAGCTTCAGTCCTATCTCTTATTGGCTGGATGGCCCCAGGCAGGTCATTTAATGCTTCCCAGCCTCAGTTTCCTTATCTGAAAATGGTAGGATGACATCAGTCCTATTATCAGAATTCTCAGGATGACTTAATGAAGTAATCCATGTAAAAGCACATAGGGCCGTGCAGGCAGGTGGTCAGAACTCTAAGCACTAGGCCTACTTTACTAGAAAATCACTGTCAGTAAGATATATCAGAGAAATGAAAGACAGTGGGGAACACTAATACCATTTATGTATTGGTTTATTTATAGTCTACTTTGATCCAAAAAGGACTGGAGGAAGCTTATTGACAGTCAATTGAGCGAGATAAAATAATTTTGAAATAACAGATGAAGCAAAGAGAAATTTAGCTCAGGGAGTAGAAGATGGACCTGTGAGCTTATTTAAGGCACAAAATGCTGCTCATGTTTCCTGAACTTTGTGGCATCAGCGTGAAGAGGTCGGGGCGGCTGGGTGACCTGGTCACATACACTCGATGCAGAAGCTGGACATGGCAGCAGAATCTTGCAGCTACTTCTTGCATCTTCTCAGTACTGTTAACATAAAAACAACGGGAAAGCAGCTATTGTGGACCAGGCTTCTGGTCTGTGACTGAAAGTCAAAATGGGGTCACTCATACCAAAGTTTCATGCCACCAATCTGAACTGAAGCTGCTTCTCTGGCTTTCCCAGGTCTCAGGAGATGGTCCAGTTTCTAGTCACATCCCCTGCGTTGATGCTTTCCAAAAAGCGTGAATGTTAATTGATTGTCATTTCCCTATTGTTCTGGTTCTCTGTCCCCACTTCACAAGGGTACTTACTAATTTGGAAATGACCCATCTGGGCTTCCTTCAGTCCTTCTCTGTCTATACAGACCACTCTTCCACTCAGCTCTTTGGAAAGTCTATTCAGTGTTATAGAATGAGGCAGTATTCCATTCTAGGATGGCAAATAAAGCCAATTATGATCTTTAAATGGTGGTAATTTTGTTCACTGATAGTACCAAATCCAGAGAGGAATTTCCTCCCAATGTACTCTCCTCCCCAACAAATTCTTCAATGTTTTCCTCTTACTAAACCTTGTACAGAGTACTGTAAAGCAGCATTGATTTATCTGGTTGGCACCTGTGCAATGCATAGAATCCACAAGGCTTTCAAAAGTCTCGAAATTGTTTGAGACTTGACAAAAACGTGCTCAGATCCAAAATATGAAAAGGTACAAAAACAGCACAAATGAAACAAACAAGCCCGAGACAATGAAAATAATTACAACAAACAATTAATTTCAAATGTTTGAATATAAATGTTTGAATATAAATGTTTGGGCTTTTTTTCATGTGTTAGATATGAATTGTACCTATCTTTACAAAATGATAAGCTATCGACTTATGAAGATTTTAGATAACTCCCTAGTGGCCACACCCCTGACCTAAGCTGACAGCATCCTATTAAATCTCTGAAACAGGGTGTGGGGGGAGGGTAATGGTCCAGCCCCTTCTTTTCTCTTTTGTCAGTTATGTTTGGGTTGAGAGTACGTGTTTTTAAAGAGATTTATTTATTCATGTATATATTTTAAGTATATGAGTGATTTGTCTGCATGTAATCTGCACACCAGAAGAGGGCATCAGATCATATGGCACTACAGTTATAGATAGATGTTGTGAGCCATCATGTAGGTACTGGGAATTGAACTCATGACTTCTGGTAGAGCACCCAGTGCTCTTCACTGCTGAGCTCACCAAGAGATTAAGTGTTTGTTTTGTGAGACAATGACAAATTCTTTTGTCAGAAATGTACTTTGTTATCACAATATAGAATGCACAGACTTCTCTAATCTCTGATGGCTTGTTAATTCCCAAAGAAAGTACTCCAGGGCAGTTCTAAGAAACAGCAGAATTGCCTGTTTTCAATACGTGTGTACTGGAAGAATTCTAGAAAGCCAGTAACCCTTTCATACATTTTTGTTTTGTGTTTACTTTGGAAAGCATACCAGGAAGTTACGTTGCTCAAAGCTAGACATTCTCAGGAACTTTCTCAAGATTTTCTTTTCGAATAGTTCAAACAGTGTTTAGTTACACATTCTAAAAACAAAACAAAACCAAAAAC